GCTTTAATGTGGACATTTATAAAGTTTGTATAATTAACCACGTTTCAAATATTTCTGCTACGCACATTAATTATTAAACTTGCATTTTAATGAATTTTAGATTTCAAGTTTTTATGAGAAATATGATGATAATATGTTAAATGCAAGTTTAAAGGAAATCTGTTTTAATAAGTCTAAAGAAGTATTAGACAACAGTTTAAAGATAAACGGATTTTCAAGAAGACGAATTTAGTAGCATCCCGAGTAAGTTGCAATTATTTCGAAAAAGTTAAAGTGATATCGAAGTAAAAGGTTGCGAAAAAGTTACTCTGATAAGCGGGGTGTTACATGATCACTCAAAATTATAAAAAGTATATATTTATTACATTTTATGCAATCAATATAGTGATTCGTATACAATCAAATCGTGTGTACTATTTATTTTAACCAATGATCAAATTTTAAAATATAATACAATTATTATATAATTTATAATTTTAATATTATATACATAAATATAACTTATAATACTATATGTTTGAAATATAATACAATTATATAACTTATAATTTTTATATTCTATACATAAATATAACTTATGATATTTAAGTTTATTTACATCTGTGCAAATGCACAAGGTCGAATACTAGTGCAATATATTATTACGTAACTAAAAGGTAAGAAGGTATACATCTAAGTATGTTATATATTAGGAAAAAATATTTTTTACTCCAACTATATCACCTTTTCGCCCTTGTACTCGAGCTTCCGACAATCAATTTTGGTCACTAAAGTTTTCCAAATTAATTACTTGTGGTCCAAACGTTAAAACGAAAAAAAGAAAACAGTTAAATTTAACAGGTGTTGTCGCCGCTGCTTTCATGTCAAATTTCAACAATTCATATACAATTTTAAGGCTTTCGGCTCAACCTATACAGCGACACTTTCTATTTCATCATATTATATCTAGAAGTTCGTCAAAATCAAAGTTAAATATTCAATACTTTTTTGAACGATATACGACTTAAAGTTTGATCGTGTTCTTCTAAAGATCCAATAGTTAGATTTAAAAATATACATACATACATACATACATGAAAACTAATTTCTTGAGGAACTAAAGATGTATCCTGATCATCACTCAGGTCTCTCGATCACCGAATATAAGTCGGTGAGTTTTCCGACGAGTTGCGGTGGCTGAAAAAATTGAAAACTTCGTTAGATTATCTCTGGCGAAAAAATGAAAAACTACACTGGGGAGGCATCTGGTGTTCATACACTTGCTGCCACCTCGAGCAAGTCGACTGGCCCCTCGATAAGGTTGGTGGTGAGATGACACCACAAGCAAATCTTCTTCTTCTGATTTACAATCAGCTGCAATTCATAATGATGCACCGACACCGGTCTAGATCACTTCCGACCAAGAGACCATTCCCGTGACTCATTGTCCTGTCATTCGAAGTTACAGTCTACGCAAGGGCAAGGAGAAGGTCGTCGAAGCTAAGATTTTTAATGAACCTGAGGATGATTTCTACGATCTTATGTCCGCCTACTCTAATTGGTTCTACTCTAAAGCTGACCTTGGTTGATTCGAGGAATTTGCCAAATTTGAATTTCATTTTGAGCGAGAAGTGACGGATAAGAAATTCGGGGAGGTAGATTTTCCTGGCTTGATTAAGATTGTTGGTCTTGAGTTGTCTGTTTCTCAATTTACACCATTTTTCTCCGAAATCGTGAGAGAGTTTTATGCTAATTTGACCCCTTATGTGTTTGACCTTGAGAGTCTTGGATTCAATAGGGTGTTCTTAAGCAATAGGGTTGTTGATCTCTCTTCGTCTCTATTGAATGTCCATCTTGGTTTACCTGTTATTGTATTGTTCCTTCCTGTTCCATCTAAGGTTGATTTGGATGTTCTAACATCCATTCTATCGGGTGGCCATTTTGATCAGTGGCCCAATTCTAAACTTGCCTGTTAGCTCCTTGTGTTTTATTCCCAATGTGTTACACAAAATTGGTGCTTGCAATTGGACCCCGACCATGAACAAAAACCAGTTAACCGTCGCACTCTTCAATTTTCTTGTCTTTTTTGGTCCTTCTTGAGTTTTGTTGTGTTGACCGTTAATCTTCGCTTCGGTGATACCTTAGTCAACCCTGGTCGTCCCTTCACGTCAGTTCGTACCTTGAATGAGCATACTACTCCTAAGCCCGAGGTCTGTTGAATTTGTCGATGTTCCTACATGATGAAAGGACTTTGTTACTTAGCAGTTGGGTGTTTGGGACATGCTGACTAAAAAAGTTGCTGCACAACAGAGTTACCTGAAGCTGGTGATCAAGACAGTTAAAGGTCCAAGCGGCTCGTCTCATGGGAGATGCCCTTTGGCATCCAAGAGTTCAACAAAAGGGGAGAAGACTGAAGATGAGAAAGAGTCCATGGAAGGAGAGACAAACTGACTTGTTGCTTAAGTATTAATTTCTTTTGAATGCCTAGAGGGTTGTAGTGAGGTCTTTTATGGTGGTTGCTTGCTTTTACTTTATGTTGATTTTTAGTGTGTATTGTGGGATTTGTGAACAATTGATCATCTGGTTTGTTTTGTTTTTATTAGAATGTTGTGCTTGAATGATGTTTTGCAGGGTATTTGCTGGATAGATGTGATCTAAATCTTGTGTTCGAACATAGATATTTGTCTGCTTGTTGTTTTTCTTGAACTTGTGTTGTAGGTCATCTTCAAGATATGATTTTCAAACTGAATGCCAAAGGTGTAGATTGTGTAGATTGTAAGATTTATTTTTGGCAAGAAGTATTAAATAATATGTTTTGACGTTTTCTTGCAAGCAAATGTATTAAAGGGAATATCTATTCTCTCTATTATTTAATTAAGTCTAGATACTATTTTGTTAAATATGTTAAGCATATTTAAGTATCTTATAGACTCTATTTAGAAGACTCTATTACTATAATCTTTGTTTTAATTATTTCAGGGAGGTCATGTTTTTAAGGAAAATGAAGAAGCTAGTCAAGGAGGACCGCATAAGATCTCAGTTTCAAGATAGGAGGATCATGTCCAAGTCTTGACGAAATCATTAAGAAGAAAATCAGCTCCAAAAGGAAAGGAGGAACTAGAGACTTATTTTGAGGAGGTTGTATATAAGCCTACACATAGACTCAATCAACATTGTAAATCATCATACTTTTAGACTTCATTGAGTGTTTATGAGCATTTTATTTTTGTTTTACTTTGGTTCAGTGATTCAGTGTTCTTACATCACTGAATAATAGAGTTTGTTAATTCTTTTCAAACACTTTTAGTGTTTACAGATTAATTACTTGTTTAGCTAGGAGAGATCCATGTTTTGTGGCTGGAGAAGTGGTTAATAGGGTTGAATATAATAGTGTTGGCTAGACTAAGAAGGAGTACAACTGTCCAAGTCGTTTAAGTCCAAGCAGTATTTTGTGTGCGCAAATCGATCTATTAATAAAAGAGTTGTGAGGGGTAGTGAGACCATTCCCGAAAAGATTTTCAAGTTTATCTACTTTCACTTTTAATTCCGGTGTTAGAACGCACATTGTGTGCTCTATTTTAATCCAATCTCCTTAAAATAAGAATTTATTATATTGCTTTTCTAATAATTTTCTCTATTCTCATACTTTAGTATTTCTTCTATTTATTTTACTTTTATTGTTCTCTTTTTATTCTTTAAGGTTTTATATACAATAATAATTGAAATAATAGTCTAAACGCCAAATAATAAAAAACAACAAATACAACCTAAACGCAACTTAATACTAGGGGGAGTTCTTGATGATTGGATATAAAAATTTTTAAATTTGTTTGGATTTTTTGGTTTGATTTGGTTAATTTTGAAAAAGGTGGTATGGTTAGTTGTTAGTGTGTATATTAAAATAATATTTTAAATAAAATAATTAAAGTTGATTTGATGTAAAAGTATGAGAGAAATAATTTGAAGTGATGGTTAGTTAAAATTATGTGAGTGGATGAATAGTGAATTAAGGTTGATGTGATGTGTAAGAATGATTGGTTGATATTGTTTAATTATATTAATAATATTAATGATAGTTGGGTTGAGTTAAAATTGAGTTAAAAATGTTTGGATTTATTGGATCAGTTTTGTATCCAAGCATATCAAATTGTAATTTAAATTTTATCATAATAAACTAATAACAATCAACAATAATTAAACAATTATCAAGAACCTTGACAAAAACAGAAATATTTTTTACTCAAAGAAGGATTTGAACTCAAAAATCTCACTCAATATATTGTAATATATACCTCCTAAATTTGATCGATTTGTGCGCAGAATTATTTAAAGACATGAACGTACAGCAAGTAGATCCAAAAGCACCACCCTGTAGTTAGTTAAATCTTCACCGAGACATGAATCTCCAAACACAAGAGGCAGCTTTAAGGGTTTTTAAGGTTAAAATACCACCTCCTGTGCATAGAAAGTCGTCAACTGGACTGGTCAAACACCATTAAGGAAAACAAAAATAGCAAAATCCCAAGTCATCATCCAAATCAGGTATTCGGTACGCCTAATTCTCAAAACCAATGGGTCTGTTACCATAGCACAAGGAATTTAGTTCACAATCCACCACTGAGACCCACTTCACCTCCTACATACACATAAACATATATAATATACCAAAACCTATGGTAAACCAAAACGGCAAAACCCAAACAACCCAACATGGAAGACACACAGCTTCCCCTGAGTGAGCAAAAGCACGAGCGAAAGCCCATTTCCATCCCCTTCGTATGGGAAGAAAAACCCGGCACCCCCAAGAAGGACTGGAGACCAAACCCCCGACCCATCAGCACCAATCCCTGCCCGCCACCTGTCAAATTCGTTGTCTCTGTCCCTTTCGGGTGGGAAGAAAAGCCCGGCACCCCCCTCCAATCCTACACATTTCCAAAACGCTCGTTGGCAAATGAGTACAGAAGGTTCTCGAGTAATGGAGGAACCGATGGATCATCAGACTCGGAGTCGTCCGAAGTGTGCAGTTTCAAAACGAGCGGCTCGTTTGGCTCTGCAAGGTCCCTCATAGCCGATGGCTTAATACTGCCACCTGTTGCGCTCGGGACACGTGTCCCAGTTCAGAAAGCTGCACTTGATCCGGAAAGTTTGGGGCCCGAGAGCCCGGGCTCGGTGGATGAACGTGCGGTTGATGGGGCCTCTTTCTTGGAGTGGCTTTTTCCTCTGCTGGTGCCGAGCTCGAGTTTTTCGAACAGAGATGGACTCCTGGAAAGGGATGAGAAAGAGTTCTTGGACGAAAGGAATTCCAGTCAAGTGAAAAGGCCGCTGCTGACGCTTGGGGAGCTGATAGTGATGAGCCGAAGGAGAAGTTGCAGGAGGAAAGTTGACAGAATACGTGAGCAGTCATCCATGGTGAGTCGAATGCTCAGTTATAGCAATAATTGCATAAAATATAATGAATCATATTAATATTTGCGCGACTTGTGATAGGACTTCATGAGGAGGAACGCTTGGGGCTGCTTCGCCTTCGGTAATGGCAAAGGCATGAACAGTCTGCAGATGAAGTGGAAGAAACAATTGCAACTTATTTAAAAATAGGGCCTGGAAAAAGTTTATGTTCGTTCAAATAAAAACCTGCAGAAAAAACTGTGTCAGCAATGGTTTTCGTTTAAATGTTCGACGTTTGTGATGTTCTCCTATGTTTTCTGGTTCAAGAATTTTTTTTTTTTTTTTTGGGTGAGCTCTGTTGAATCAAGCAACTGACTCCACTTACAACACTGTTATTATACCGATAGCAATCCTCAAAAGAAAAGATAAACAAACTTAAAACCACCCGACAAAATCTGGCAAATCAATTCAAGGACCAAGCAATATAGCATTGCACAAAATTTCAAACAATATTCTATACAGAAGGTTTACAGCTTTCGACCACTCTACGTATTCGTTCCATCACAACAGGAATCTCGTTCTCGCTCAAAGTCGTGAAACAGAACCTGAACCATCCCGGCTCAATACAATGACAGGCAGACCCTGGAGTTACGTTAACCTTGCCCATAGTCAAAAGCTTCTCCCATAAGTCGAGCTCTCCTTTCTCATTGTAAGGAGTAATCAAACGGCTCATGTCCACCCAGCAGTACAATCCCCCACTGCTTTTCGTGCACTCCAAGCCTATCTCCCTTAAACCCGCAACAAACAAATCACACGACTCGCGTATTCTCTTCCTGTTTTCCTTCAAAAATTCCCGTGTGAACCTCTTATCCGAGAGCATCGGCCCCAGAATCCTCTGGGTCAGGGTTGAAAGTGATGAAAATCGAGTCAATTTCCTGGACGCGGCTAAAACATTCTCGTTGTACGAGTATATAACCCCAACTCTAAAGCCCGGGATGCAAATATCCTTGGAAAGGCCGTACACAATGTGGACCCTGTCCTTGTCAGCATCCTCCGAGTCGACTATCTCGGCCATGCTCACAAATTGTTCGTCCCCGTAAGTGGACCCCGCGAATATCTCGTCTGATATGATGTGAATGTTCCTCTCCCTGGCAAAGTCGAGGAGATCGTAAAGCGTGTCCCGACTAAGCAAGTTTCCGATGGGGTTGGATGGGTTGGTGAGGAGAATCCCACGGACCTTCTGACCCCGTTTTCTGGCCTGGTTGAAAGTTTGCTCGAGGGCCGTAATGCTTAGTGTGAAGTTATCACAGCTTCGGCAGTGGACAGGGATTAGCTCGACTCCCGTTCTCCATCTTATGTCCCTGTCGAATCTGAAGAAAGGAATTGGTGGTTTCAAAAGGAACTTAAGTGAAAATAGTTCGAAATAAAATTCGTGTCATTCTATCAGCCACTTTCAGGAAATCAAGAAGAACCAATTGCAATTCTTTTCATTTTTACCCCATAGTTGGATTATAAATATCTTATCAATGACAGGCGACAGATAAAATGGGATAGAGAGAATACACACACACACGCACGCACACACACACACACATATATGTAGATGAGAGAGTGAGAAAATATAAAGGAAATATTGCAAAAGAAAAGAGTGATGCATCCAAAACCAAATAATAGCATTAAAATGTGGTATATTTACCCAGGGTAGTAGGGTGCAGGAACAAGGAAGGCATTCCCTTGGTCAGCCAGACAAAACGTTAGTATCTCAAGTGCAGGAGTTGCACCACAAGTCAATATCACACGTGAAGGGTCGAAAGATACTGTTCTTCCCATTACTTCAGTCATGAAATCAGCCATTGCCTGCAACAGTCGGGGTGATGTTTCTTAAAATAAAGGCAATATAAGCAATTTAAAAAAAAAAACGAATATTCCTATTAATTTTTGCTGCATCAAAGTAAAGAACTGAAGAAAGAGTAGGCTGCAGAATGACATACATTTATTTATGAGAGTATTACTGAAATCAAAGTTTTAACTAATGATGATTTAAAAAGAGTTTCCAGGATATATTGTGAGACCTAGGATATCTTGTCAATGAGATTTGTTCGTGTTCTTTCGTTCAGGAATAAAAATAAGAAGTAATAGCATGTATATGTATAGGTAGGTAGATTTGATCATGGTCCATTGCTTTCCATACCAAATATGCTTAAGAATCCTGATGTTACTTTCCTTTCACATATTCTCACCAAGAGATTACATTGTAATATCTGTGTTTTGAAAATCTAGAACATAAGAATTAATTGCGAAAATGTATTACATGAAAATTCTATTCGCTGAATCTATGCTCATTTACATAGATCTAGTTTTTAGGCCATCACATTCTCACACCAAGATTAAAATTATGGAGCATGGATTCATGCATCAATCTGGATTTCTCAAAAATTAGAATCATTATGGACTGATAAACTTGACATGAACAAATAAACGGACATGCTATAGCATCTTTCTGGAATAAACTTAACCTTTCAATGTCACAGTCTTTTTTTTCCTCTGTCCAAAATCATTATTTTTTTTTTAGTATCTTATACGGAAAATAGTGAAGATTCACTTGATACTTGCACCAGTTGGACCCAGTCACTTTAATAGACATGTTTCATATCTGTACCCAGGTTCTTACATTTATTATGTGTCACATAGCTCATTACTATGGTGTGGTTTTCACCAACTAATATCAAAGGCACATCAGATGCAACTATCCACCCCAAGTGTCATTACTATGCTGAGATCTTCACCAACTAATATAAAAGTCATCAGATACAACTATCCACCCCAAGTGTAGATTAACTGTGCATCGAGTGCACGAGCTCAATTGGTACCATACATCTCCGAAAAACTAACAATATCAAGCTTTTTTATAACGTCTTGATCAATCGCATTCAGTGCCGGAAAGAGCAGTCAAACTTTAAAACCCACTTTAGTTGTCTTTGATTTATAAGCTATTTTCCTTTACTTTCATTCAGACTTTCGAGTCAATTAGTGAAACAATGAACCAGTTATAAGTTGAACCCAAACTATTATAAACGGGAAAATAAAACAACATTCTCATTACCACTTTGAACTCCATTAATCCATCCATCGGCTGGTACGTCGCAATCCCGCCGAGCCCAAGAGCCTGACTACCTACTCCGAGTTTTGAATCAGTCAAATTTTGCGAAAGCCACTCTTCTACTAAATCCAAAGACAACTAGAAATTGTTCATAAGAATTTTTCAAGTTAGACTAAGCACAAACACTCACTCCCAAATCCATGAACAACAACAATTATTCTCAAGAAAAAAATGAATCGGATTGAAAACTAGGCATCGTTACCCTGTTTTCAGACAATCCAAGCTGAAAAACGCCATCTTGATTGGCGATTTCATCGTAAGGGTCCTCCCGCACTCGATCCAGACCAATGTAGTAGGGTGAATCGTTAGGCCTGGCAACGGAGGCCGCCCGAGAGGACAAGCTCGCGCGGCCGGTGGAGCCGCGCGCCAGCAGGTTGGCGCGGGAGGAGGAGCGCGGCAGCTCTTGAAGGTTCGCCGCCGACGGCGAGGGCGGCGGGGGGTCGGAGGGGGGTGAACGGTGCCGTTTGAGGTAGAATTGAAGGAAATAGAAGAGGGTACAGGGGATTAAGGAACCTAGGATGAGTCCGCCCCTGCCTTGGACCACTCCCTGTAGCGGTACGATGAGCCTCATGCCGGTTCGGGTGGGGCTTCTGGACGCTTCTCTTCGTTCCGGGCTCGGGGTTCGGGTCATGTGCGTCGCCGGAGAACCAGGCCAGAAAAGGGGCGACCCGGCGGTGGAGATAAGGATCGGAACGTTTGGCTACTGGCGGCGAGGGACTGTGTGTGTTGTTGGGTGAGTTTGAGGTGGTGATTTTGCTTGGCTGGCGACGCAAAGAGTGGATTCTGTTTTGGAATCTTCTGCTGGGCTCTCCTTTTGTTNGGCTCATATAGATGGACAAATATTTAGGTGTGCCAGAGCCTTTTGTGAAATACAACTCCTTCAAAAGTGCGTGAGGTAAGGAGGTAGAATATTTTTTTTTAAATGGGATATGTGTCCCATTTCTATTGGATAATGAATTTCATATATCATATTATATAAATTAAATTATCATTCATATTTTGTATCAAAAAATAAAAATAAAAATACCAAAGTTCATAAATTTTCATTCTCTACAAATAAAAACCACATTTGATTTTTTTTAAACATAATTAATTTATCATTTTTTACAATTAATTTATCTTATTTGAAGATTATGACGTAAATCTATAATTAGATAAATATGTTACATAGTAAGATGAACACGTTATAGAGTAAGATGAACATGTCATAGAATAAGATGAAAATGTTACATTTTCACGGATGAAATTTAGATGAATATGTTCTAAAATAAGATGAACATGTTACATAATAAAATGAACATGTTATAAAATAAGATGAACATGTTACATAACAAAATAACATGTTATCTCTCTTATCTCTCTTATCTATATATGAAGAAGTGAGTGGGCTTAAAATGCTGACAAGTGTCCACTTATGTGCTCTTTAAATCTCGACACGTGTCCCATTTAATTTACAATGTTGCCACTCAATATGTTAAATGACCCATTTATTAATCTTTTCTTTTTATTGCTCTGTGGTTGCTTTTCGAAAAATCTGCTTCTTGCGTACGCTGCCGCTGTCATGACATAAAGCTGATTAGCCAGATTTGATCTCCATGAATCCCGGTTGACCGCGCCGAAAGTGTATTGGTTTCTACATGTTAATGGCTCTTATTTTGGGTCGCTTAAGAATTAAGATAAGCCATATCTCATTTTCTCTCTGTTCGATCTTTTTTTATTTCGTGTAGGCCAAAGTAGTGGTCGGACTCTCGGTGGTTCGGCGATGGAGCAGCGCTCCAAGATGGTCTGACTTCTTCGCCCCGATATCCGGTGACCATTAGCCCAATTTTAATAACCTAGGGTTCAACAACGTCGAATGGAAGGCTCCGATTCATTATCTCCGGCCATTCTCGGTGGTTCGATGACTGATTTATTATTTTAGTTTCGATTCTAGATTATTGAATTTCATGTGGCCGCATTTTGAATTTGGAACATTTCGTATTTTAGGTATACAAATTCGAGCTCTGTTTTAAAGATTTTTTGTTATAACAATTTCAGGGCGAGTTTTCTTGCGTTAAACGTGCGATGGTTGAGCAAGAAATAGACCAGTGTTTTGTATATGAAGTGGAGATTGGAGAAAAAAACTCAGAAAACTTATGATGTAAATATGGATTCTAACCCAACTGGAGTTGTTGCTAGCACATCTGACGTACACGAGCTTCCCATGGAAATGAATGAGATGAAAATTAGAGAGGATAAAACTGATGACCATGAGGATACAACTAAGGTCTTTTTTTTTTTCTGTTGATTTTATATTTCAGTTGATTACGGTTATTGTGCACTCAAGGGAGAATTATCTGGTAAAATATCGTACTGAAATTGTGAGTATGGTCGTGACTTCTATTCGTGGCCGAAATGGACAGCCAAAATAGGTGATTGTTTTTGGTAGTTCTAATGTTTCTAAATTGTTGATTTATCTTTGATGGGTTTTGTTGTCTTTTTTGTTATTCTGATTATGGATTTAAAAAATGCTTCGAACTCATTGGAGTGTTTATCAAAAAAAATTTCCCTTTACTCCTTTCAAAGTGATTGTAAGCTCTAATTACACGTTAGCTATGTTTATATCTTTAAAGCACCAAAATCTTCTTCTGCTCGAATATTTTTTGGAAACTGTTTATCGTATGTCAAGGCATTATACTCGAGTGAACCAATACATGCACGTTATATATGTGCAGCTTTATACCTACCAGGTATGTATTTTTTTTCTTTTTTTGTTGTGTGTTCTAACATTTTGGGTTGTCTGATATTATTACTTATAACAAACCATTGCTTAATTCATTTTTCTTGTTACTTGAAACTTCAGATATTCCGAGCTTTGAATTATATGCTTAGAGTTATTGGCATTTTTCATCGGGACACTAAACTCTGGAATCTTCTGGTATGGTTGTTGTTTTATTTTGATGAATTAAGTACATTGATTGTACTTGATTGTTAATTTTCTGAATAATCTAAATATGAATTTGAAAGTATTAGTGTGTTTTTGAAAAAAAGATTAAGGATCTACTTTTTAATTCTCTAGATATGCAATCTTTTCATAATTCTTTCTAAATATTCTAACGTGGGTTCCCCCCAAAATTTCAATAATTGTTATGCTCAAAAGTTTAGGATTGAGCTGTGATATTTGGAAATGCCGATGGACTTACCATCATGGCTAAGTACATTTTTAATTTATCCACCATGTATTAAAGAAGAATTTGTTTTCACTATTATTATATTGGTACTCCCTGTTTAAGTAAAAAACAAAAATATTGTAGAATTTCAAGATTGAATTGTTGTTTTATTTCTATTGAATGTTCGAACATTGTGTTCGCATTCACGGTTTTCTCATAAAGATGAGTCTTCTGTGCTGTCAATTTCTTTTGTTCTTTTTTTTTTTTTACAATTTTTCTCAATTTTCTAAATTGAGATGAATGACCAAAAAGAAGATCACAATTTAATTTTAAGAGGCTACTCAAAAAGCAGCCCAAGTGATTGATTGGTATCGACATTCTCATCCGCTCCGCCTATGTATTAATTCGCTTAAGGGATCACTACTCACCATCGATGTATGGACGGCGGTTGCCGATGGACGCAATGGTTCGTTTGCTTCAAGTGTTTTAAAGTTACACTATTAAAAAAATTATTTGATCTTTTAAAAGACAATATATGTTTTGCCTTTTGTTATATATTATTTCTGTTAAAAAAGATTTGAAAAATTAGATTTTTTTTTTTGTGGCCTATATAGCATGGATGATAAAACAACTTGAGGATTGATGCTTGATCACCAGCTATTATCTCGAGAAGATTAAGAATTTCCAATATCAACTTTAGATATATTTTAATCGTAGTACTTCTTTCATACATTTTATGATAGTAAAATAAAACTTAGAATGTCCTGCTTAATTCGTTGTATAACTTGAAATATGTAGCCTTCATCCATGCACATGTATTTACTTCTTTGTGTACTTTTAAATGTATTCATAAAAGCAAGTTTACTTTTTCTTAATTGTCACATGCACTCTTACTGCATCTCGTGTACCTTGGTTCCCATTCTTGGTTTTTATGTCAGCAGTGGATATGGTCGCTTCAAATTTAGCCCCCATCAGCGTCAACTTCTTAACACAGGCTGCAAAAGTAATTTTTGCTATTGTGATGCTTATATTTCAGGTATAATTTCCATATCCTGTTAGTACTATATGGAAGTCTGTTTGTTTTTGGATCTTCGTAAGTAATATAGACAAAAAGAGTAAGTAAGGCAGAGGTTCTTTCTTATTTTTAGATTGCTTAAATAAAGTGAGGAAGTCAACCCACACAAATGGGACTATCACTTTTTCTTGTGCTACAGACTGAATACTATCAACTTTAGTTCATTTGATCATGGAACATTTTCTTCTGTAAAACTTCTTCAGGCCGTCAAATTCGTATGAGGAGATCCCTAACTGAGAGTCTTACTGATTCTATTTTGGAATTGCAATGGGGACAATACACATGTAACCTCTTTGTTCTTTTACCACAAATTTACAATCTCCATGCAGTTATTTGAGACCAGACGCAAGCGCTTTGACTAATAGGTTGGTCCTACACGGTACTTGGAAATTATTTGCTATTGTAACTTCAACATTATTATATCTAAATGCACCAGTAAAACTTACCTGAGAGGATTTTTTGTCATGAATTGGGTCAAGTATTCTACACTTGCATTCTTATATATTTGTTAGAATTTTGAGTACCACTTTGGACTCCGTTGCTTTATTATTATTTTTTAGAGATTGACATTTTTTTCCAAGGACAATCCCAAGATTAAGATCTTGGAGCTTTATTTTTCTCTTTGTGGTGGCACTACGACATATACATTTCACTATCAAATACAAGAAAGTGAAATTTTTCAAAGCCTATAAGCAGTTCTATATATGTTAGCCGGCATAAGAACTTACTGTGGGTACTCTCATATACATCCGTAATCCATATCATATATATGTACCTTGGAATATCCACAGCTGGCTCTTTTCCTGCAGGCTAGACGACGGAAGGTTGGTGAAAAGACACTTCTCTCATTTCCCACGTTTATTCATGTGCATGAAATTGTTGATCAGGCATTTGAAATTCTTTTTCTTTTTCATGTCTTCAAGACACTTTGACGTAATGTCACCTTTATTTTAGGAGAAGCGATTTATGATTTTGATGCCTTAAAATTAATTCGATTTTCTTCTGCAGTTGCGGCATTGCCTTCATCTTTATTTTTATGTCTCAGGTTTTTCCTTTTCTATAATTATTTTATCTTTTAACTATTTTACCCCTTGGTTTCTTTATTCAGCAATGCAAAAAATTACATATTTTGATCCTAAGGGTTTTTAGTTTATTCCGTCAGTGATTGAGGAGATGTCGACAGTGGCCAGATTCTTCAACCAAAGGGACCAGACATTGCTCAAGCTTTGAACTTGTGTCCGTGGGTAACCCTTTCTGTTGTGGCAAGGAGACTACAAGTACAATTTGTAATCTTCTGAATACGTGTATTATTAGTGAGTTTTGTTAAGTTTATCAATAATTTTGAGCTTGTTTATTTCATCCACTGGTAACGTGAGCTCACATTCTTAGGGACACATTTTAAGTCTTCTCCCCTTCTTGTCCTTTCGAAAATATTTGGCTAAGGTACTGTGCTCTTATGTATAATTCAAATTTTTAGTTAGTTTTAAGGTACGAGTACATATAATTTTTACAGTTTCTTAGCTATGAATGAAAGAGCTAGAATAATTATGAATGCTTTGGTTCTAACTGTTAGACGAAGAATTATTGTCAATATTTGGATTATTTATAATTTATGATGAAGTTAATTGATTTTTAAGAGCAATTATATTTTGATGCCATGAGAGTTTTGAAAATTGTAATGCATTTTTTTGTTATTAGAATTAGGAATCTCTGAAATTGGAATCACACAAAATACGATCAGATTAAAAATCTAGATGAAAATAGCAATTGAAACTGCTATCAAAGATCGATACCAAGCAATTAATAAAGTTATTGGGATTGATACCTGAGCAATTAAATTGGTCGTGTGGAGATTTTTTAAGCTTAGTCCCTATTTTAATTTTCAATTAGTTTATACATCTTTTGGTTGAACATACTAATTGACTAATTTTATAGATTTATAGCGTACAAAATTTTTACTTAAATTTCGACTAAATTGGAAGCGGCTGTGCATGCGCAACCGTCAACTAGTAGAATAAGATGAACATGTTACATACACAATAAGGTGAACATGTTACATGATAAAATGAACATGTTACATAATAAAATGAACATGTTATAGAATAAGATGAACATGTTATAAAATAAGATGAATATGTTACCAAAATGAGATGAACATGTTATAAAATAAGATAAATATGTATTATTTCAATCTGCAATCTGTAACATGTTCATCTTATTATGTAACATGTTCATTATATGTCAGTATAATAAAATACTTACGAAAAAATGAAAAATTAGTTGTGTTAAAAAACCTATCAAATGCGGTCTCTATTTATAGACAATGAAAAAGTATGAATTTTGGTATTTTTATTTTATTTTTTTAATATAAATAATTAATGATATTTTAATTTATGTAATATGTTTCATTTTTCTATTAAAAAAGGAAAAATGAGAATGTGCACTACACTCTACAAATTTTCTAATTTTTTGGGTGAGGGGGCGCGTGCAAATTTGCCCTGGCTAGGTGTGCCAGGGCACACGGTAGTGCTACTGCACATAGATGATCATTGCCTTAAAAAGTTAAGCTTAGGTTAATAATTTGCTAAAATTATCAAATATGATCCATAATCAAATTTTTTAATTATTTTAAACGTGACATGATAATATTTTTCTTATCATTTTGTTTTCTATTCAAATTTGCATCGGTATCTTCAAATCTCATGTAACCGAATCAATAACTGAATTTAATAATTAATTTTGTAAATCTATACTTATATAAAAAGTCATTCTATTTACTAGAAATAATAAATAAAAAAGTCAAAGGTAATTAATGTCATTCTATTTTCAGTAAGTATTTTATTTATAATTCTTTTAAAGTGTGGTGTACCAACAGGAAACGCATTTGGTCAAACCTGTAGCAATTTCTATTACTATGAATTAATAAATTATAATTCTTTTAAGAGTTTTAATTAATTGGTTTCATAAAATAATTTTTCTGATATGTATATATAATATTTTTTTAAGCAATAATTGGGTGTGAGCATGGGTTGTTTCTTAACTTCAATGTTAATTTAATTTTATATGTATTAAAAAAAGCAATTATAATTTAACATCTACACTTATATAAAGAGTCATCCAAAGTCAAAGGTAATTAATGCATTCTATTTCCATCAATTAATTTTTATTTAATTATTTTTTTCCATAAAAGCGTTACAAAAAAAATCTACATAAAACGAAAAAAGGCAGCTTTGACCGGAAGATAAAATCTTGATATTACCAAAAATAAATCAGATGTCAAGCCTAAATTGAAGGGTTTGGTTGTTTACATCCCCTCTATATATAATTTCATAATGCGTTGAGTCTATGTGGCAAATTCTCATGCTTCGGAATCCTATTTGGCAAAAAATCATGCTTTGGAGTTAGGTTTGGATATAAATTAATATTTTTATTAATTGTATTTTAATATCATTTCCTATTATAATCATTGTATTGCAAATATATTTTAAAAGTTGATAACTTTTGTATTTCTTATCGGTTTTACATATATAATATATCAAATTAATCATCTTTTGATGAGTTTCGATTTAACATCCATATTGTATATATAAAATAAATAAATTATATTTATCGTTATAATAATAATAAAATTATTTATTGAAATTACTTGATGTATTAGGCATCTAATTAAGTAAAAAAATTATTCTTTTTTGTTTAATATTAAATAAACATATTCTACACTTATGCATATACGTATCACCATAATATTTCTATTTACTTAAGATATATATTTTTGTACTTATGTAATAGTAAATAATATCGATATTTTTATATGATATAAGTAAAAAAATTCAACACGGGTTCACATTTTTATTTAATTCGGTTGTTTAATTATTATGATTAAAAAAATATAATTTGACAATTTATTTAAAACCCAAAGTAATGTTTTATATAAAATTAAATTATTTTAGTTTTTAAAAAATAAAAAATTTAATATTTTTTACAAACGCTTCTAATTCAACACCCGTGTATGATAACTTTTGTATTTCTTATCGGTTTTACATATATAATATATCAAATTAATCATCTTTTGATGAGTTTCGATTTAACATCCATATTGTATATATAAAATAAATAAATTATATTTACCCTTATAATAATAATAAAATAATTTATTAAAATCACTTGATGTACTAGACATCTAATTAAGTAAAAAAAATTAATCTATTTTGCTTAATATCAAATAAACATATTTTACACTTATGCATATACATATCACCATAATATTTCTATTTACTTAAGATATATATTTTTGTACTTATGTAATAGTAAATAATATCGATATTTTTATATGATATAAGTAAAAAAATTCAACATGGGTTGACATTTTCATTTAATATCCGGTTGTTTAATTATTATGATTAAAAAAATATAATTTGACAATTTAATTAAAACCCAAAGTAATGTTTTATATAAAATTAAATTATTTTAGTTTTTAAAAAAAATAAACAATTTAATATTTTTTACAAACGCTTTCTAATTCAACACCCGTGTAATACACGAGTATTGTACTAGTAGATATTGATTTACGTAAATTAATACATCTAATATTTATAGTTTGTGTATATTTAAAATTTCTTCTTTTCTTTGTACAAAAAATCTTATCTAATTGTATGAAAAATTTGATCTGATTTCCGTATATCAAGATTTTTTCTTAAAAATCCTAACAGATATTGATTCTACTCTACCAATTATAAATTATAAATCTCAAATATTGAGTCATCGTCTTATAAATTTTTTATTTAATATTGCATCTTATAATATAATATTTCTTAAATAAATGTATCCCATATATTTTTTTTATTCATGTATATAATTATAATCCTGAATAAATAGACTTAAAAATTGTGCACCTCGTGCATCGTACGGGCTCTGCACTAGTAATATATATAATGGACGAGTTAAGTCGGATTGAATGGATTAATGATCGAGTCGATCACCGTTGGATTTTAAGCGGGTCCTTTGTTGGTGGTTCGGAAGATTCATTTTGACTGATCCACGCTTCTGGTCGACTCATCAAACCGGTCTATATAAACAAAAATACTAATATGGATAATAACATGTCATTCTCTTATTATATATATATATATATTTTTTTTTTCTTACATTCACTTATTTTCCTCTCATATATTTTCCCCCTTCTCTTTTTTTCTTTAATTTATCTTTTTCTTTATCATTTTTGTTATTTTAATTTTCATTTTATTTTTACATATTCTTTCTAGTTATATTTATATATCGTTGTTTGAGGTGCGGAACTTCACAGCACAACAGTAAATGGAGATGGTGGCCTTCAAGTTATATAACGTTGTTCGGCCAAGGATTGTGTTGTACTTAGTTTCGAGATCAATAATCTTGAAGGTCTCCAAAATTGTCCTTCCAGTTGGTCCGTCGCCTCGAAAGTAGGTTGGCAGCGTAATCTCCACCAACTGAAGGGCATTGTTGTCATCGAAGCCCCTTACTTGATCGTTGCACGGGCGAATTTGATCAATGTCAACACCCATTCGAACAAGGTGTTGAAGTATATACAACTTTCATAGGCTCCCATATCCACTATAATCTGTTGGTCCGGGATGTTAAAAATAGAAGCAGTAATAACCAATGCGCCAGTGTAGGTGATGGATTCGACGGGCGTCAAGTGATCGCTGGCGTATATCGACACCCGTTGCGCCGGGACTAACTGATTGGTTGCACTTATGGAGATTTTAGGCATGACAAGAATAGGCCCACTGTTGCCTTCAAGATTGACCGATTCAGACATGTTAGTGTTAATCAGGTGAGTCGATCGCAGATCAAATGAGGTCGGCTAAGAACATGATTGAGATTCACGGTGCCCGACGGAAACCCAGTGTGGTTCAGGTCGACGTCGATGCGAACTTGCTTCATCATGGTGGCATTGGCATTTGCCGGACGAGATCGGCAGCCTTGACGAACTGGCCTCGTTTAGGAGTAGAGGTTCGAAAACGAGCAACTCTTTAGATCCATCCCTTGGTCGTTTGGCTACGGCGGAGACATCTTCATCGGAAAGTTATTCCACAAATCTGTCCATCCTTTTTCAACTTTGTTGAGGGCTGGCGCATCGGCCGACCTGAGAATTATCGATTGTCATAACAAGAGTCGACAGGTCGCAACATTGATCGGCGTTTGATTTGGATATGTGATTAGTGAATAATCGGCGCTATAGATTTGATATGCGAGTCGTAATCTATGAGGTTGATTTGTATATGCGATTACAAAATATCGTTTATTTATAATTTTATATTGATTTCTTTTCTTTCTGTTATAATCCGCATGTTGTTCGTAGTTATGTGATATTGTTTACTTTTATTTATTTTTTTTACTATACAATATACGATTTATCACACTTGTTTCGCAGTTTTTCGAAACTTTTTTCAATTAAAAATTTTCCATTCAAACATTGTCGCTAATTTTGTTGAAAAATCTATGTTGTCAGACTTTAATGGTTCATTACTATGCAAAATATTGTTTAAACACATAT